AATATATATATATATAAGTGTAATAATAAATTTGAAATAGCTAATCCTATAGTCGGTTTGGTTCGGTTTTTTCGATTTTTTTTTCTGATTAAAACCAAAACCAAACAAAAAAGTATCGATTTTTTTGGTCGGTTTGGTTCGTTTTTCGGATTTTTATCAACACCCCTAATTGCAAAATCATTTTACTAGTATAGGCCATAGCCCTTGTATCCGTAGTCACTACCAAATATGAGGATGGTAAAATTATATTAATGTATCATGGTTAAGTTATAAATTAAAGTAAAAATATATATTAATTAATTATAATTTATTGATAAGAGTATAATTGAAGATATGCATCATTTATTTAGTATTAAATTGGTCTAAACACCAGATATAATAAGTTTTTACATTACGAAGACTAACCAAAATAAAAACCTCCTATTACAATCTCTTGCCATAAAAGCACCATCAGTATTATATTTTGATAAAAAATAAATATTAGTGTAAAATTTCAACAACAGATAAAATTTTATAAGGAGATATAAATGCAGCTTCGACATGCATTATATTTTCAAATATTGAAATGAGTATTTGAAAATCAATGTCTTGATATTAATTTTACTCGATATTTTAGTTTTCACATGAAACAGAGAATTTGTAATTGAAATAAAGGTTTGAGCAGCATTTCAAGTAAACCAATAATTTCCACACACAATTTTCACCTTTCACTATTTTTTTTTTCAAATGAAATCTCAACTTCAAATTCTTTTTTTTTCTTCTTCTTTCAATTTCATCAAAATAGTCAAATGCCTAGGAGAAGAAAAGAAAAGAAAAGAAAAAAAAGATTTTATGCCTAAAATTGACCAAGTCAACCAATTTTAAAAGGGAAGTAATCATTCATTAGTCCTTAAAACCAAAATTATAAATATTAAATAAATAATAAATAAAACGGTAAAAAAGGAGTACACCCACCAAAAGGTTAATAATATCCTCCGTTTTCAGTCTTCACTTTTCTAGACAGCTAATCAGCTGTGCAAAACTTCCCTTTGCTACTCTTTCCATAAACTTCCATAGAAGAAATAAATTGGAGAAAATGGGTTGGTTTCCTTGCACTGGACCATCCAAACAGACCTCAAAGAAGAAAAATTGCATCGATTCAGTTCAACACTCTTCTGGTAATTTTATCAAATCTGCATAAGTGTGCATTTAATCAACTGATTGTTTGATTTGGCGAAATGGGGTTGTTTTATATATGTTATTTTCATGGGTTTTGATTGTTTTGGATTTTTTCAACTTCTGATTCTTGGAAATTTAAGCTGTGTACCATTTTTTGTACTTTGATGACCTGGATCTTGAGACCTACAATAGTAATACAATGGCTAATTATTGTACTTGATTGTTGTTGTAATATGTTATTGGAGAACCCCCACGAGTCCATGACCTGCTGCTTTAGGTTAACTTAGAGTCTAGTTTGTAGTTGGACCCAAGGGTGTGAAGCTGGAATGAAAATCATGGGAGATCAGGGTTCAATCTCAAAAAAAAAAAAAAAAATTACTAGGTGATTGTCTCCTGCTTGATTACCTACACTGATGGGAGAATGTAGGTGTGGAGTGGAATAATTAAGGTGCATATAAGCTGACAAAAACACTACCGGTCAAGTAATCGTGGTAATGGAAGAATTGATTGCAACTTAGAGGCACCCAAGGGTGTGGTAGTGGTCAATGAAGTAGGAGGAGAACCATGGGGTCTCAGGTTCAAATTCCAGCAAAAGGAAAAGAAAATCGGTGATTTCTTCCTATCTACCTAAGCATTGATGGGCAGAGTTAGAGTTAGCTGATACCTGTGCTGGCGGGAGATAGCAGGTATCTAGTGGAATAGTCGAAGTGCGCACAAAGTTGGTCCAGACATCACCATCACTAAAAGAAAAAATAATTGTAATTTAGAGGCAGTGTCTAACAATTAATTTTGATGCAGAATTTTGGGACCAAAATTTTGGTTCAATTTGCTGAATGGGTAGTACTCTAGTATGGAAGTGGTAAACGTCAGACGACTAGTGCTTTCATTTAGTATCTAATAAGAAGTTAAGTAGCTAGTTTTATCAATTCTGTTATTTTGTTTTGTATGAATGCCTCATAGAACCAGAAGGAAGGTCCTTGTAACATGATAATGGGATGAAATGCTAGAGGAGTTTGGTAGCCTCAAGTCAATTGGTTCCAATCTTCCTTCTGTAGACAAGGCAAGTTTGACTAAATTGGTCCTAGTTAGTCTCCGGGCAGAGTGGAAGGTGGAAGAAGGGGGATTCTCGAACATGGAAAAGGATCCAATGAATTTGAAAGAATTGAACGAGGGGCCCTATGGGGTGAAAATCTCATGTACGGTTATGTAGATTGGCTGTAAGGGTGACGTCTGTGTGCCAAATTTGTTCAAGTAAGATGAAATGATTTCTGTTTGACCTCCGAATATTTGCAGCTTTTCCATTTTACAGTATGGATTTTGGAATATTTAACTTTTTATTTCAGTATATCACCTCAGTTAACTAGTTATATGTATATCAATCGACAATATGTATTGTGCATCTTTAAAATTTTGAAGAAGAATGGTTGTTTCACTAAAGGAATTGTCGCAGATAAATTATTGGTACATTATCTATTTATCTGGGTGAGCTTGTCAACTCCTGCTGTTTTTGATACTGTATGCCACATTAAACAACATCAGCTAGTGAAGTTTCATATGTCAATTTTCAAACAACCTTTTACAGTTAAAGAAGCTTCATAGTTCAAACTTCAAACAACCTCCCACATTCCGCAATTGAACCAATAAAATTTTTATATCTAATCTTTTTCCCTGCTTGTCAATCATCCTTGATGTCTTTGAACACTAGTTGCCCCATTTCAATGCCATGCTTTATTTACTTTTCTATTTTATGTTCTTATCTTCAGATAAGTTGAAAGCAAGGAATTCATTAAGCACAAAGGAAGTTGTTAAGGATGCAGGGTCCAACCAAATTGCAGCCAAGACTTTTATATTTCGTGAATTAGCGGCCGCAACAAAAAACTTTCGAGGTGATTATCTTCTTGGAGAAGGAGGCTTTGGTAGAGTATACAAAGGGGTGATTGAATCCAATCAGGTCAATTCTCGTGAACTCTCTTTGCTTTTTACTAATATGGAATGTAACAATAAGAGATTGCTTTGCCTCTAATCTACCAGACTCTGTTAAACTCACTATTCTCTGAATAGTGTTCATGCGTGAATACTGTATTTTCTTCTTGATTTTTACTGACCCAAGATCACATACTTTTATCCTTTTCGGATGAGCATAGCTATGTTATCATCAGTTGGCACATTTATAGAGGGCAAGGGGTGTGACGCCATGCTTGATGGTTTGCGTCCCAGTTCTAAGTTATTGGCTGGAGCTGAAGTTTAAGACCTTTTTATTGATTTTATTGGTGCAGGTCGTTGCGATCAAGCAACTTGATCGTAATGGATTACAAGGCAACAGGGAATTTCTTGTCGAAGTGCTGATGTTAAGTCTGTTACACCATCCTAACCTTGTAAATCTAATTGGCTATTGTGCTGATGGAGATCAGAGACTTCTCGTCTACGAATATATGCCATTAGGGTCATTGGAAGACCATCTTCATGGTAATCTTTCTTAGCCAGACATTCTTTTTCATTTTATTTTGAAGTCGGCTTAAATTTGGAATTGAAGTGATTCTTCTGCAGATCCTACTCCAGGTAAGGAACGGCTAGACTGGAACACAAGAATGAAAATTGCTGCCGGAGCAGCAAAAGGCTTGGAATATCTACACAGTGCAAGTCCTCCTGTAATATACCGTGATTTAAAATGCTCAAACATTTTGCTTGGTGAGGGTTATCACGCAAAGCTCTCTGACTTTGGCTTGGCCAAATTGGGGCCAGTAGGAGATAACACCCATGTCTCTACAAGAGTTATGGGTACTTACGGTTATTGTGCGCCAGAGTATGCCATGACTGGACAGTTGACTTTGAAGTCAGACGTTTACAGCTTTGGGGTAGTCCTCTTGGAGATTATTACAGGCAGGAAAGCAATTGAAAGTTCAAAAACCGGAGGAGATTTCAATCTGGTTATATGGGTAAGATTTTCTTTATCATACATCTTTTTGGTTGCTGTTGATTCTGTGGTGGCATGTTGCTATGTTGCTTCAATGTATTTTGATCTCTATAGTTATTCAACTATAAAAGGGAAAAAGAATCTTATCGGACAGTCATAAAATGCATTTGTAGTAATCTGCATTCCATAGGATAAGTTCAATAAATTGAGTTAAAAAGCTGGTCATTACTGATCTAATATGATTATGGTTTGACAATTATCTTGTGCGTATCTGAAAGCGGATGCGGTTAATCACTTCAGAATCCAGTGTGGAAGATTGAGAGTGTTTTAATTTTTCCTGAAAGAATTAACAAAAATACTGTTAAATTTAAAGCTGGGTATTTCAGTTGATGTTGACGTGCTGTCGACAAATCGTTGTCAGATGACACTACTTGAGGCAATGTATCTTAACCATTGTGGGTAGGGGTAAGGTTGGGTATTTCAGTTGAGGTTGATGTGCTGTTAATGGAGCATTTAAAGAAGGAGAAAGTAATGGAGTATTTAATGTCGTGAGGGTAGAATTTATTTTCAGGAGTGTTTAAGGAAAATCTTGAGCATCTATCGTGTGTCAAATGGAGCGAAGGAGAGTTTTTTATTGTTCAGATCCTCTTTGTGTTCCCCTTTTCTTGGCCGTGGTGCGTGGGGGGTTCTATAGATTGTTCTTTCCTGTTAGCCAACCATAAAGAGAACCAGGTTTCTAACTTTTTAATTGTGCTCTGGATATCAGGCAAGACCATTATTCAAAGATCGGAGGAAATTCTCGCAGATGGCTGATCCAATGCTGCAAGGCCATTATCCAGTAAGGGGATTGTACCAAGCTCTAGCAGTTGCGGCAATGTGTGTTCAGGAGCAACCCAACATGCGTCCAGTCATAGCTGACGTTGTCACGGCTTTGACCTACCTTGCTTCACAAAAATTTGACACTGAAAACCGAGGCATCCAAACTTCAAGGCCAGGACCTGCTACTTCACCTAGAATGAAACGATGGTGAAAAGTAACAAATAGGTTAAATGGAGCTATGAAACTAGATGGTGACGGGCGATAAAACGAGATCATCTAAAAAGGGGGGAGCCAAGACAAAGGGACCTCTTGAATACCAGCTAAGTTGAAAGTACAGATAGCAAACCAGAATCAGTGGCACCTTGACTGCAGGTTCAATAATATTGAACTAAATTGGCGCGACAAATATTTTATCCCTCAGAAGTCAGATCAACTATGAGGTCCTCCCTTGTTCTTTTGTCAGTTGAAGCTGCTTGTTCCCCTTAAGCATAGCATTTATAGGCGATTTGCGTTTGTGCAATTTGTGGTTTTGGTCATTCTTTGGTAGACCTCCAAAGCCTGGTCCGGTATTTTGTTGTACAGACATGGCTTATATTTATGAGTGCAAGTATATGTATTAGAATAGCTCATTATGATGTACAATCGTGTGATTGTGTTTCTTTCCTATAGCCATATCTTTGAGGAAAACGCATAAAAATGTAATACTACAAGTTAGTATATGACTCTTGAATGTTGCTGAAGAACATTTTGTTATCTTGTGCTTTTGATGCATGTTTACTGTAAAATTTGTTTTCATCAGTGTCCATTACAATGACTCTTGTAAAAAATCCAAGGAAATAAATGAGATAACAATGTAAATCCAATTCGATAGTGAAGAGGTTGCATGCTATAACCATTTTCTCAATAGAGCCATTTTTTCAACATACAAGGCTGCGTACAATAGACCCTCGTGATCCTGCGTACAATAGACCCTCGTGATCCGATCGTGCACCGGGCTGCCCTTATAGCTTCTTAAAAAACTTCTTTGAAACACAGTTGAACGCTTTGCGAGTGGAAACTTGGAAAAAACTCCTAAAACATGTTTTTCAAACTTCAAAATCCATATTTCAAGTTTTAAGTTGAAATGGGCGGTTTGATAAACAATCTTCAAAATCATCTCATATTTTGAGCCAAAATCTATGGCTAAAATTCCAACGTCTCTTTAACATTGTTAATATCACTGCAAGAAAGTAAATTTTGGCATTTGGCAGAGAAAGGAACACTAGTATACATGTAATGTCCAAGGCAACAATGAAGGAGAAAAGAAAGATAAGAACATAAAGAACACGGCACAGGTCCTTCATCTTCCTAAGGAAGATTAGCATCCCAGAAAGGACCCCAACACATTGATTATTCGACTCTCTCTAATCAGATTTCTTAGCAAGACTCAGCAAGACTCCAGCGCTAAGACATGTAGCTACAACGCCTAGAGAAGCCTCTGTGGAAACATGGTATCCTGCATGAATTTTGACATCAGCCGGACATCCTACTGGATTTGAATCATAAGAGGAAAGGCTAAATGTGTTTGCAGAAACTCACCGAAAAAGTCCAGGATCATTTTGAATCCAATGAATCCCAAGACAACACCAATGGAAGGCTGAACAGAAATGAGAATCTAAGTTAAAAATTATCATCCATGTAAAAGTGAACTTTAGAGATCTCATTAATAGATTACCGACTAGTTTGATTTGTTTTATTTAATTTCTTAATGCTACTGACTCATATCTGTAGAACAAGAGCTCAAAAACTTGAGAAATCATGACCAGCTCCAGATTGGAATGAGAGGCTGCTGCAATGCAGCAAGCAGAGACTGATAAAAGCAAGTAAATTCTCACCTGTAAGTATTCCAACTCCCCCATACTTTCAGAAATGAGTGTGTACAATGACCTCAATCCTGCATAAAGAGCTAGGTTAGTCCCCTAGTTCTTAGGGAAGGGTAATAATATAAGAAGATCTACATCTTCGTGAAATCAGAGTGAACAGTGAACGATAAAGTGGGAGATTTCTTTTAATTACTGCGTAAACTAATAACTTCATGCACATGGGTCCTTGTTATATATGACATGATGAAAAGACGTTAAAACATGATCATTTACAAAAGCATAGAGCAACATATGACAAATATTACTTGGTTTAGACCAACTCTAATTTGGTAAAAGAAATCACATTCGATTAGTAATTAATTCTTTCTATAGCTCTTGTGATTAAAACAAGAAGCAAGACAGAGAATGAAGGGTCTACCCAAAATTGCAAAGAGATTGGAAGTGAAAACTATGAAAGGATCTCTTGTGACACCAAAAACTGCTGGTATAGAATCAACCTGAGAAGAAGCACAACATTGTTGTTAGGACATAAATGAACAGGCATGTTAGCCCTTCAAGATATGAAATATCCAGTATGAACAGAAAAAACTCACAGCGAATGCAATATCACTGAGTTCAATAACCGCTACTGTCAGAAGTAAAGGTGTAGCCTGCCCAAAATGTTAAAGCCTATTATTTTAAAAATATTCAAGCTTTTCTTATAACTAAGGAACTATATAACAAGTACACAGGGTTTTGTGCTCATAGATGGTCAATAGACACAGGATACCATTTATCCTGAAATTTTAAGGTATAAACTGATATATGCATGAATATTAGAGAGGTGACATGCCAGGACAAAGATAAGTTTCAACTGCTAAAATTACTCACTTACTTTCCATACTATATAACAAGGAACTATATAACAAGTACACAGGGTTTCGTGCTCATAGATGGTCAATAGACACAGGATACCATTTATCCTGAAATTTTAAGGTATAAACTGATATATGCATGAATATTAGAGAGGTGACATGCCAGGACAAAGATAAGTTTCAACTGCTAAAATTACTCACTGACTTACTTTCCATACACCATCCTGCAAAGTTAGGAACCGGTTACCATCATATTCAGCTGTAACACCAAGAAAAGTTTGAAAAATCATCATATATTCCACAAGCTCAAAGGTTAAATTTCTGCACAAGGAGCAGAGCTTCATCATCTTAAGAAAACATGGGCCTGGACCCTACTCATGTATCATATGACCTAAAGAGTAATTCGAAGAACATCACAGAATTAGAAAAACATTAATCTCTGAGGGGGGAAAGTTGACCTAATAAGCTTGCTAAACCAAAGCAAATTTGAGGCAAGGAAAAGGATTATTTTCTATATATGGAGCTTAATAGCCTGTTTGACCAAGCTTCTCCAAGCTGAAAAGCATGCTTTTTTTCCAAAGTTGAAGTGTTTGGCCAATCTTTTAGAAGAAAAAGAAGTGCTTTTGAGTAGAAGTTGAAAAAAGTAGCTTCTTCCTAGAAGCACTTTTTGAGAAGCACTTTTGAGAATAATACACTTAAGAAGTACTTTTTAAAAGAAGTACTTTTTAAAAGCTTGGTCAAACACAAATTGCTACTTAGAAGTGCTTTTCAATTAGCCAAACACAAACTGCTTTTCACCAAAAGTACTTTTGAAAAATAGAACTTCTCAAAATAAGCTGATTTGTCCAGCTTGGCCAAACAGCCTATAAGTTACAGTGGACCATGAATTTTGGTGATACCCAATAGATTTATAGCATGTGCCGTATTGTATGTATTTTTTTTAATGAAGTCGAATTGTATGTGCTTAATAATCAAAGTGTACCTTTGTTCTATACGTGCTTTCTAGTTAGTTTTCAAAGGACATTGGCACTAATTTGTCTCACCGTCACTACTTCAATGCCTCCACCCAAAAATGATACTCTATTTTGTAAGGTCCAACAACATTATCTTTGATTAAGATTTTTTTTTCTCCATTTTTTGAATGAAGAAGTAAACAACCTGGAGTATGTCATATATCTAAACCTCTAAGTTCTATTTACAAAAAATAGTTTGTATCAAATCCCACCTTGACTGGAAGGGAAGAGAACAATCAAATATGAAAAAGGAGCATAGCTTATTTCCCAAAACATGTCTCCGCAAAATAGTAAGTAAATGATCACATTATGCACCTAAACAGAATCAGACTCCACATCCTTACAAAGGGGACAACAAAAAAGAAAGAAGAGAGAAGGCCCTCATTTCCACGTTTGCAACATGCACAACGTAATGATTTTTGTGTAAACTTTACGCGAAGCTCTCAACTACAAGCTACGATTGAGAAACCACCATAGGATGCAATTGTTGTTGTTGGAGTCAATCAATTTGAGGACTTCCGAATAACCAATTCATTTTTTAAAAAAAAAAGAGTATCACAAGAATAAATCAAACTAGCAGCTGTCGTTGTAGTTGGACTTGATCACTTCAACTATTCCAGAACAACCAATACAAAGTTAATACCACAATAAGAAAAAACCAAACCAGCAGTCATTTGCAGGGGCACATATAAGACCAACTAGAAACCAAGTATTACACCTAATTATGCAAAGATGCCGAAAGAATTTTACATGTGATGGGAATGAATTTCTGGCAGGTCTTCACAATGAAATTGTCAGATAGATCAGCGTCTTCTTCTTCTCCAGTGAACAGCTAAAAGAGATAAAAAAAATCCGTATCATGATTTAAATTGCAAAAATGTTTCTGGGACAACAATGTTGATCAGAAGTAATATATGAGCACATTTAGGTATCTCATAGGTGGTTTTCTTATTAGTTTACGACAATTCGAAACGGGTGTCGGCAGTTATGCTAAGCTTGTATTCCATTTCCACATGGCATGGAAAAGAAAAGTCATTGATACTAAACCAAAATGTATCTTTATGCAGACATCCAGGGGAACTCCTATGAGCATCTAGCAGTCTGTTTTCAACATACTTATAGCCTCGATTGCTCAGATTCAAAATTCTGGCAGTATTGATAGCATGACTTAAGTAATATATGCAGCGATTGGAGAGATGGCTCTGCCTTCTCATCTTTTTAAATAAATAATCGGAGTTTTATTTCACCAAAAGCACCAAGAAGGTGCTTATACGTACAAGTCAAAAACTCAGGCTCCCTCCTTAAAAGTCTAGGGAGCTGAGGAACTCAAGTGGCACGTTAACATCAAATATCTGTCATTTTACACCAAAAAGCCAAAAACTTGCAAACATGAATATCTAATTTTGTCATATTTGATTGGCTAAACCTTCAAAATATCTTCTAGTCCTCTCTTGCCAAATTACCCAAAAGATGCAGGCTGGGATAGTGAACCATATCCTCCTGTCCTCTCTTCCCGTCTACCTTCAAGTCCAGCTTCATAACAGTTCCTTCAATGCCTAACCAATTGTTTAAATTGTACAGACTGAAAAACATGCTCCAAAGGCCTGGAAGTGTATGAACAAGTGATTTATCTCTCCTTCACTGCCTTCACATATGAAAAATCTATTACACATCATACCCCTTCTTTGTAAATATAATTGAGTTAGACAAGCATCATGCGCCCTAATACAGCAAAAGTCGGCCACCTTGGGAGTTCCACCGCCTTTCTAGATTATCTTCCAAGGCCACTGTGATGGACCATTTTAATCTGTGGTTAATATTTCATAACCATATCTGACAGAGTACTTTCCATCTCTATGATGTCTCATCCATGCTTCCTCCTGGTATATCAGCATCTTCAAGTATTCTCATATATTCAGATGCTTCCTGTCTCAAAAGTTCTCTCAAGTCTGCTCCCCCAGCGTTGTGCAACTGATGCATCAGGGTTGACTACCAAACCGTACAAGTCTAGAACTGCTCTTCCAAAAGGAATATGGCCAATCCAGGCACCTTGCTTGAATCTTAACTTCTGCTATTCCCCACCAAGAAGCAGGTGTTTGCAACATAAAACCTTACATTCTTCCAGAGACTAATCCCACAGGAGCCTATGACAGGTTAGCTGACCAACAGCCCTTGGGCCCTCACTGTTGACCTGTTTCCACAGTAGTTTTCCTTCCAAATTATGCTTCCGCAGCCATGTACTTGGAGCTGTAACACCTACGCCTCCGTTAACTAAAGGGAAAGTAGTCTTTCCCTTATTGCCTTTCCAGGAAAATTCTCTAGTTAGTTGTTATTCTGTCCACTTTTTCTCCTACTTTAAAGGGAGGGGTAAGAGTGACATCACATGCGTTGGCAAACTATCTAGCACACTACTTATATGTCTAGCACACTGTCATTCTTGTCAAGTACTTCATAAGTTTGACTTACACTCTTTCAACTAAAGAAAGCACTAATGATTTCTGCAAAGTTTCATGGCGATATGAAACCATTACTCCCACTAGAATTAGATAACACCTTCACAGAGCAAAAGCTAGATTAACTATGTAATAAATTGTACTGGACGACGTGAAGGTGGCTATACCTTCACATCATCTTGGCTTAAGTGTCATCTTTTATTTAATTATAATTATTACAAGATATCTTTATTTATATAATAACATACTGTTTTCTCAATTATGAGATCAATATAGCACATTACTAAGTTTCTTTTTTTTTTTTTCCATTTTGTAACAAGAAAGCACGGTCATTGATTGGAGTTTGCGTGATGGTAAGAGGATTCTGTCTATGTTGGTCCTCACAACAACAAAGCAATCTAATTTGTCCTGGTTGAGAAGCAAGGATTTAATCTCCCTCTTACACCTTTTTACTGCAATGTTCTTTTAGTTAATTCTTCCCGACGATACCACCGACAAAGTTGATATGACATCCTCAAAGGGATTATATTATCAAATCAACATATTTAAATAGTTCTGTCCTTATATTTTTGCAACAGCACTAAAATAAAAACGTTGCAACTTTCAGAACAACAAATATGCTAATTTAAATAAATTGGTGGTCATCATGTTCTTATGTAGGATCCTTTGCAAAAGCAAGAGCATCATAAGCGTTACTGAAGCAAGACAGTTATGAACAAAGAGAAGACATTTGTGTCCCTAAAGTGATGATCGTAAAAAATAAGTATCTAATTGCCCATTCCTAACCCCCACCCTCGTTTCTACCCCTCAAGAATGATATCCACAAGGCTTTGCATGTCTCAGATGCTGCCCTACCTTTTGTTCCATTGCAGAAGAAATACAAAATCTATTGTCACTACCCATGGTAGTGTGGTACTAATCTTTTGGGGCATGCTCACTTATATCTATGTTACAAGGACTCAACTACGAATATGTATTCGGTATAGATATCTTTAAGTATCAGGTATGGGTTATAAGCATCAGGTACAAGACTTTGCTAATTTTAGTATGACGAATTCATATAAAGTATCCATACTCATGTCGCACTCGTTCAACATGGCTACATCAAGGCCAATTAAAGATCATACTGTTAGAATAGTCGTGTAAATAGGAGTAAATAACTCTAACCCTAATCCAATATGTATTAGGACTAGGATATGTTATGTGTGTATATATAGGGCTCATTGTAGCATTGTCAAGTAATCAATAATAATATTTTTCTCCCGTGCATTCTCACATGGTATCAGAGCATTAGTGAGAAACATATCGCTGTGCATCATTCCAGCGACTTCCGGGAAGAAAGACCTCGTCGCCGTGCAATTTTCCGGCGACTTAGAAGGCTGCCCGTAATCAAGTCACTTTCTATCGGTGTTGTGCAAAAAAACCAACACCACCACGAGGTAGATCACTCGTCGGCGACCAACCCTTCAAAATTTCTCTGGTAGAAAAGCTGCCACGCGCCCACACGCGCCGGCAGAAGAATTTTTCCGGTGAGCGCGTGACACCCACGCGCCGGCGCGTGAGCCCACTTCCGACCATTTTTTGATGAAACTCCTTCAGGGCAGTTGGATCGTCCTTAAATTCCGAGCCTACCCATAATTTTATTTTTCAATTCCGACCACTTTGGAATTTTCCGGCGAGCTACAGTGATTTTTCCGGCGTGAACAGTGATCCCAGCGATTTTCTGTTTTTTTCCGGAACAATATTATAATGGAATTAATACCTGAAGCTTTTGCCTCACAATCCGTTGGATTAAATGCAATAAATCCAATCCAGATGGTTTCTTTACCGGATTATATTGAGTTCCTTCAGTACAAAGCACGTAAACAGACATCTTCAGGATTAACCTCCGTTGTTCCAACAAATAGTAGCATGACTGGTGTCTCCCAATCTACACCCTTTGAGTCTTGGGTCATTGATTCTGGTGCATCTGATCATATTTCTGGTAACAAATCTCTTTTCACTAGTATCTCATATTCTCAATCTCTTCCAACAGTCACAATGGCCAATGGGTCTCAAGCCATGGCAACTGCAATAGGTCAAGCAAGTCCACTTCCTTCCTAACCTTTAGACTAAGTTCTTTACGTTCCTGGTAGTCCTTTTAATCTCATAGCCGTTAGTCGCTTAGCCAAATCACTTAAATCGGCTGTTTTATTTCTTGATGACCTTGTTTTTATACAGGAACGCAGTACAGGGCGGATCATTGGTACTGGACGTGAATCAGATGGACTTTATTACCTTGTCCTTGCAAAATCACATGGACTCGCATCTTGTCTTCCTCCAATAACTTCTCCCGTTACTGATTCACCAGATTTATTACATAAACGGTTAGGACATCCCAGTTTATCAAAACTTCATAAAATGGTACCTGACTTATCTCACTTGTCCACTCTAGAGTGTGAGTCGTGTCAGCTCGGTAAGCATACCCGCTCCCATTTCCCGCGGCGTCTTGACAATCGAGCAGAGTCACCTTTTACTTTAGTCCATTCAGATGTTTGGGGTCCTAGTCGGGTTAGCTCTACCTTAGGATTTCGCTACTTTGTCAGTTTCATTGATGATTATTCCAGGTGCACTTGGATATTTTTAATGAAAAATTGATCTGAGTTGTTTTCTATTTTTCAGACCTTCCATGCTGAAATTCAAAATCAATTTGGGGTTTCTATCCGCACATTTCGAAGTGATAATGCCCTAGAGTATTTGTCTTCCCCATTTCAGCAGTTTATGAACTCCCATGGGATTATTCATCAAACATCTTGTCCGTACACATCCCAACAAAATGGGGTAGCTGAAAGAAAGAATAGGCATCTTATTGAAACTGCTCGTACCCTACTCATACAATCTCATGTTCCGCTGCGTTTTTAGGGGGGATGCGGTTCTTACATCTTGTTATCTTATTAATCGTATGCCATCTTCAGCTATCCAAAATCAAGTTCCATTCTCTGTCCTGTTTCCTCACTTACCCTTGTTCTCTCTTCCACCCCGTGTCTTTGGGAGTACGTGCTTTGTTCATGACCTTACTCCAGGAAAAGATAAGTTAGCTCCTCGTGCTCTTAAGTGCATATTTCTGGGTTACTCGAGAACGCAAAAGGGATATCGATGTTATTCTCCTGACTTTCAGCGATTTCTTATGTCTGCTGATGTTACCTTCTTTGAAACCCAATCATACTTCACAGGTTCCGTTAATCACTTAGAAATTTCCGAGGTGCTACCTGTTCCTTCTTTTGGAGATTCAGTCCCTATCTCCCATTCATCTCCCTCCCCATATAGCTCCACCGCCTACAGTTCCAATTACAGCTCCACCACCTATAGCTCCAGTATCACCACCAAGTCCAGTGCCACCACCTAGTCCAGTTCCACCAACTATAGATCCAGTGTCACCACCTAGTCGAGTTCGACCTTCTACAGCTCCACCACTCCTGACTTATCATCGTCGTCCGCCCCCAGCATCAGGCCCAGCTGATTCACGTCCTGCACCTGACCCTGCTAATACTGCGGACTTGTCTCCTCTTAATCAACCGATTGCACTACGAAAAGGTATACGGTCCACAGTTAATCCTAATCCTCATTATATCGGTTTAAGTTACCATCGTCTCTCACCATCCCATTGTGCATTTGTGTCATCTTTGTCCTCTGTTTCCATTCCTAAGTCTACAGGTGAAGCACTGTCTCATCACGGATGGCGACAGGCTATGATTGACGAGATGTCTGCTTTACATACGAGTGGTACTTGGGAGCTTGTTCCTCTTCCTTCAGGTAAATCGACTGTTGGTTGTCGTTGGGTGTATGCAGTCAAAGTTGGTCCAGATGGCCAGGTTGATCGACTTAAGGCTCGTCTTGTTGCCAAAGGATATACTCAGATATTTGGACTCGATTACAGTGATACTTTCTCTCCCGCGGCTAAAATTGCATTAGTCCGCCTTTTTCTATCCATGGCTGCTGTTCACCATTGGCCTCTCTATCAGTTGGACATTAAGAATGCTTTTCTTCACGGAGACCTTGAGGATGAGGTTTATATGGAGCAACCACCTGGATTTGTTGCTCAGGGGGAGTCTAGTGGCCTTGTATGTCGGTTGCGCCGCTAAAACAGTCTCCTCGAGCCTGGTTTGGTAAGTTCAGCACAGTTATTCAGGAGTTTGGCATGACTCGTAGTGAAGCTGATCACTCTGTATTTTATCGACATTCTGCTTCAAATCTCTGTATTTATCTGGTCGTTTATGTTGACGATATTGTTATTACCGGCGATGATCAGGATGGTATTAGTAAGTTGAAGTAACATCTCTTTCAGCACTTTCAGACTAAGGATCTGGGCAGATTAAAATATTTTCTGGGTATTGAGGTCGCTCAGTCTAGCTCAGGTATTGTGATCTCACAACGGAAGTATGCCTTAGATATTCTTGAGGAGACAGGAATGACAGGTTGTAGACCTGTTGACACTCCGATGGATCCGAATTCTAGACTTCTGCCAGGACAGGGAGAGCCTCTTAGCGATCCTGCAAGATATAGGCGGTTGGTTGGTAAACTAAATTACCTCACAGTGACTAGACCTGATATTTCCTTTCCTGTGAGTGTTGTGAGTCAGTTTATGGATTCTCCCTGTGATAGTCATTGGGATGCAGTTGTCCGCATTCTTCGGTATATAAAATCAGCTCCAGGCAAAGGCTTATTGTTTGAAGATCGAGGCCATGAGCAGATCGTTGGATACTCAGATGCTGATTGGGCAGGATCACCTTCTGATAGACGTTCTACGTCTGGATATTGTGTCTTAGTAGGAGGAAATTTGGTGTCTTGGAAGAGCAAGAAACAGAATGTGGTTGCTCGGTCTAGTGCAGAAGCAGAATATCGAGCAATGGCTATGGCCACATGTGAGCTAATTTGGATAAAACAGTTGCTCAAGGAGTTGAAATTTGGTGAGATTAGTCAGATGGGACTTGTGTGTGATAATCAAGCTGCTCTTCATATTGCGTCAAATCCAGTATTCCATGAGAGAACTAAACACATTGAGATTGACTGTCATTTTGTTAGAGAAAAGATACTCTCGGGAGATATTGCTACAAAGTTTGTGAAGTCGAATGATCAGCTTGCAGATATTTTCACCAAGTCCCCCACTGGTCCTCGTATTAACTACATATGTAACAAGCTTGGTACATATGATTTATATGCACCAGCTTGAGGGGGAGTGTTAGAATAGTCGTGTAAATAGGAGTAAATAACTCTAACCCTAATCCAATATGTATTAGGAGTAGGATATGTTATGTGTGTATATATAGGGCTCTTTGTAGCATTGTCAAGTAATCAATAATAATATTTTTCTCCCGTGCATTCTCACACATACAACATAAGTTTATCTTCTTAAAAACATTGCATCAATGAATAATAGCTAATGAAGATGGTATTTAATTCCTGCGAATGTAGATAAAAGAGATTGCACCTTGAATGACGAGTATAGAAGAATCCCAGCCAAAAGTAGGTTAACTGCCTCAAATTTCTGAAATAACAGAAAGATAAACGTGAAATAAAATTTTAAATGTGTACTTCTCTGGGTAGGGGGATATATTCGGAAGCTGGAACTTCTGCATGTTCGTGTAATTACATGTTTCTGCAAAAGAATTAGCAGCCAACCTGCAGGGTCGCTGTTCCTAGCAGTATGATAGACAATCGGAAGATTACGGCACCAGCAATTCCATATGATAGCACTCGGTTCTGTAGACCCAATATGCGGATTTGCATCATGAACAAGGTCTCATAAATGACAAATAGAATTGCGCGGCTGATATAAAGTAAAAGTAGGGCCAGAATGAACACAATGTGGTGAGTGCTGACAGTAAGTGCAGAAAAGATAAGCACAGCACCTGATACATAAGTGGCACTTTGAAATATTTGAATATCAGAACAAATACAAATAAATTGTCCACTGACAAACTCTGCTCCAGAAGATACCTGAAAATATATAGCTAAAACCAGTAAATCTAGAATCAAGCCTAGAAAACACTGGAACTTGATAGGAAAGAATTAGTAAACCTAGGAAAGGGACCACATTTTGTAAGATTGAGTAATAGAGAAAAATCAAACAACTCAGATCAATCCTGAGCAAAACTAAATCAATCCTCAGGGCAATCTAGTGCTAAAAGCCTAAAACAGTAACAATTTTTATTTTTTTGGTTGGATTTGGTCCTCTCCTCTGTAAGGTACTTCTTAATTGGACTATGATTAGATTCTCACTACTGACCAACTGCAACATGAGATACCGGTAATACAACTATACTTTTGCCAGTCAAACATGTAACCTATCCTGGCACAGTTAATAGAACATTGCTCTAGGCTGACCCCTTATCAGCTCTTCCGGGCCACACCCCCGAATGACTCTCAAACTCCTTAGCTAGGTGTTAAATCAACAAAACCATTGCTCTGTTTGATATCCTAGACATGAGATCTTTGACTTTGAATTAAAGAATCTTTGGCCTACTTCCACTTCTTAGGATGAGCCCTAATACATCAGTCTCTCTCGCTGAAACACATTGTCAAATTACTCTGTCCGTCCAAATTTATGTATCACCATTTGACTTGGTACGGAGTTTAAGAAATAAAGGAAGACTTCTAAAAATTGTCGTCTAAAACAAGCCTTAGATATTTGTGTTGCTATAAATCATCTCATTAAGGGTATACGGAAATTTTCAAGTTAAATTTGTTTCTAAATATGGAAAAGGTGACATTATTTTTGGGACAGACTAAGATGGAAAGAGTGCCACATAAAGTGGGACAGAGGGATTATTAATCTACCTGGTCACTACCACATTGCCTAAAATTCAGTAAAGATACGCAAAGGTATTGTATATTTCGAAGTTGTAAGAGACCCCACCCTTCTCAAAAAATATTTCTCCTATTCTCTACGCTCCATAAATTTTGTCAACGTTTTTCTCACTTGAATCATGGAGATAATATATAGTGTCAATTCTAAATAGCATTAAAGTTTTGTTATCATTTTGCATTACAAATACTACAAATAATTTTCAAGTACTCCGCATTCCGTAGTGACAATCAGCACTAGACGTCAGCTTTAAACAACAAAGAACTTCAAGTATTTCCAAAATACATAGGCTTAAATCTTCACTGTGCTGATAAAAGCAGTTTGACTCTTTTTTTTTAAAAAAAAAGAAAGGAAAGTAGTTTAACTCTTTACCCAGCGAAAAATTCAGATGCCTTGCCAACTCCATCAGTGAACCCTACACCAACGCCAAATGCCACAGCTGAAAGCACCTATATAAATCCATCACTATATTTCCTTCAATTTAGATTGTTTTAGATCAGTGTGACAAAGAATAAATGTTGTTATGATCATAGCAAGGAATTACTTACACACAAGGCAACCGTTCTGACAGAAGATACATAATTTTTAGACCCTTGAGTTCTTTCTTCTGCTTCATCAACAGCAGATGTATTATGAGACCTCTCAACATTGTTGGTAACACTATGTGACTGTGATGACGAAGTCTCCTCTGCAGAATTAATTTTTGCCAGCCACATCACATTTGAACAGAAAAGGATTAACAACTAATGACCCTCGAACATGCTTAAAAACTTCTCAAGACAGATGGACATCATTTATCCCTTTTTCTACAGTTTTTCATTTTAGCTAGATAGTATGTTGAAACCGTTTTGGTGAACTTTTGTGAATTTTTTTGCTTTTTTGATGACTGCGAAATCCCTTTGCGGTCAACTCTGAGGACCAATTACAGCCTTCGAAACTCGGGGATAATGGGCCCGCCCCCTCTAAAATTCACCACTTGAATACTAAGCTTAGTTCGTATGACGTCGGGCTCAAACATGTAACCGAAGTCACTAGTCCTTTCAACCTTTGCCAATTAAACCAAGCACCGGGGCCGAAAAACATTTTGGTAAAATGAACCAATGGAGATTAAATTAAAATGATTTGGTGGGAAGATATATAATGGATAGCTAACATTGACCTTCGAAAGAGCTTGATGGTGAAAATGGATACATTACTTTGGTAATTAAATGGTGACGGAGACTTGAACTTAGTTCCCCCTTTTTTCTTCTTTGCAGAGTGCGGGTGGGGGTTACGTTACGTTTATGCAAATCAAGCATATGGAAACAAGGATGGTTACATTAAATTTAATAACCAACATTCTTATAGAGCTGAAGTGCTCACATAACACTTACACCTAACTTTAGAACAGAAGTGTATAGTAATATTTCATGAATCCAGAAATGTTTGCAGAACGTTTTCTTTTCACTTGTACGACATGTTTCAGAATAACAGAAAAAGACTCAATATGTCCTAAGCAAAAATAACTTACGTGGAATCCCTCCATTCTAGTTTATGTGAACCTTTTAGCTTTTCGAAATTCAAACTATGTAAACTTTGACCAACATTTTGAAATGTTTTTTCATTAGACATGAGAAGAATTGCAAACTTATAGTACTTTCATACAGTTTCTGAATAATCTAAATTTAACTTTAAAATATTGAGTTAATCTAATCTAATTTAGCTTCAAAGATTAGTCAAATTGACTCTCAAAAAGCAAAAATGTTCACATAAACTGGAACAGAGGGAGTACTATTATGTTAGGAAATTCCACATGAACAAAACGTACAAAATATGATGTCATCAGCATAACAGTTGAATTTCCGAATCTTATCATTTAATTTCCCTTAATTAAGTTATTATTTTTTATCATAAGAAACAACAAGTACAGTAATTCTAACCAGCAGTGGATGATTCTTCCCCTTGTTCGGATTTTCTCAAGCAGGAAATGGCAACACTATATCTTCGTTTGCAATTACACCCAACTGCAAAAAAGTAGAAACTTTAATACCAAATTCAATGTCAAAGAAAATAGTACTCATTAACTGCAATTAGCATTATACCTAAATTGGGTGGTGGAGAGCGAAAAGGAGCTAATTTAAAATGAACCCATTTTGGGTATGTAGCAGGCGAAGGGATTGGAGAAATCCTGAGCGAGCTGGAAATGAACTTAGGAGGGAATTGAGCAGTGTTGTTATAGAGTAGTACAGGAGCCAATCTCATGGCTTTAACTTTGATGGAAACTATCTGAAAAGGATTTTTCTGGTTCAAGAATGGAACTGGTTTTGCAGTCCCGTACGAAAATGGCCACAATTCCCAGATCGTCCACGGATATAAGATAGACAAGGTAAGCAAATATTAGATTACAATATTGAGATTGTGATTTAAAAAGAAAAAAGTATTTGAATTTTTATGGCATAAAATACATGAAATCTTTATTGTTCTTCTCCACTTCAAATATTTGATTTCAGATATAAAATCTAAAAATTATTTTCAAATTTATACAACATTTTTTATAGCCATTTGATTTCTTGGTTTAAACATAAGATATAAGATAAATAATTTGAACCATTTATGCAATTTTAAATGAAATAAGGAGTGTTATCCAATAATATATATTTGCTATAGATAACTCATGTGTCATTTGGAAAAATTAGTAGGATAAATTTGTGTTGACGATTGTTACATAAAATTATTTGAGCATTATCTTTAAATAGTTTTGGTTTAAGATTTATAATTTTATATATTGCTATAAAGTGTATATTTATAAAATTATCAATATTATGATTGTGTATTCATTTTGTATCGTTTATAAATACAAGTGATACTACTAGGTTTCATTCTTACTTGATCAAAAATCACAAAAACCAAATCAAGATTTACCAAATTGCTAATTTCCTTATCAAAAGTTAAAATAGTCCAACCCCTATACATACCACGTGAGATTTTTTATTGGGAACAAAATTATAGGAAAAAATTAAAACACAACACGAGTGTTTTTGGAGTTAAGGCTTAAGGGTGTTTTTGGAATCTTAGTCAGAAAATATCGTCCTCCAAAATTCCCAAAAAATCGAGCCATAAGAATACCAATCCGAGCAATCGCAGCTACGAAAATCCGAAACAATTGCGTCGTTTCCAATTCAGGGAGAAGGTTTCACCATTTCCAAAGGTTCTCTTTCAATCCTCAGCTATGGCCGCAACGACAGCGCAAAATCCTGAAAACCCTATGAAAACCCTAGCTGAGCCGTCAGATCCCAATCCACCGGCTATAAGCGAATCCACACACGATTCCGCACCTGACTCGGTAAAATCACCGCCATCTGCCGATGCCAAGGAGGAAATCAAGTCGGCGGTGGCGGGGGGAGATGACAGTTGTCAGGGTAATGATATTCAGAAGAAGATGAAGCGAGCTGAGCGGTTTGGAGTGCCAGTTCAGCTATCCGAAGAAGATAAGCGAAATTCTCGAGCTGAGAGGTAAATTATTTATCTTTAAATTGCTGAATGAATTAGGGTTTGAGGCTTATTCCATAATTTTGTGAGTATTTTTATTTCAGTTTAGCATGTCGCTACCTCTGTGCCGAAAGGAATGACTGGTTCTGAGTGCAAGTATAAGCATAAATTTTTGGTGTGAATTCCGGCATTTTCTTAATTTTTTTTAATGTTCTTAGAAACTGTTAGTACTTTGTAGGAGATAAGTTTCCAAGAACAAATGTCACACAATTGTTTTTGCGGGAAACTTGTATTCCTAATTGGTTTTTAGTTTGGAATTTTGGCTCCGTTCGTTGAAGTTTCCTTGCAGTACCAATAGGTTCAATTGGATGTCTTTGAGGATTTGTGGTGCTTATATGAGTTGGTAATAAATTTTTGGTTGTTGTGAGGAAAATTGCTTGGCAATTAAACTCAATATTTTCTGATACATTTTAATGCTTAATTGAGAAGATGAGCTGTTAAATAATTTTTAGAACTTTATCCTAGGAACGTCAAGAGACTTCACTAAAGATGCAGATATTGGGTTACTATTTTCTGAGGTTTAATTATCTATCCGGTTGCTGCCCTCAGGGTTTTGATCTAGTGGTAAGTGTGTGGTTTAGGTGCATATCACTTGTTTGAACACTGCCATAGACAGTCTAGTATTTAAGTAGAGAAGGGTAGAGTGGCAGGCCCATTACCCATCGAGTTTTGGACCTTGTGCCACTGGCTTTGGCATTTCTCGGTTATCAAAAAAAAATCTATCCGGTTGCAGTTGCCATCGAAATGCACATATATGTGACAAGTTAATGTTATCCCTTAGTTTGTCACCATAAAGCAGTGATAGCATTCATGTGTTCTGCACTTTCTGGTTTAATTTCTTAAATCTGCGTCTGATATTTCAGTCGTTTCTTGGATGTATTGTATCAGGTTTGGAACTGGGTCCTCAGTTCAAGGGTCAGATGCTTTAAAGAAAGCTGAGGAGCATAAGAGGCAAGCTAGAGCTGAGAGGTTTTTGTTTCTGCCTGTTTTCTCCGTCTGAGATGTAGCAGTTAAATTGTTTATGAGTTTCTTGATAAGTTTGGTTGTTCGTCAGGTTTGGGCTTGTAAAATCTGACACAACTGAAGAGGAAGCTAAGAAGAAGGCCAGGTTGACAAGGTTTGCACCACCGGTGAAGACTGATCCTGTGGAGGAAGATAAAAGGAAAGCTAGGGCTCTCAGGTTGTAAAAATGAAAACTGTTCACTTTCTCTTTATGCCATCTTTGGAGTCTGCACAATGTTCTCCATACATATATCAGTTTGCAGCATATAAGATTCCATAAATAAGTCATCTGTCAGATATGCGACTTAATTCTGATAGTCCTGTGTTTTTTTAATAGGTTTTCACAACCCCAGTCTGCTTCACAATCACAAGCAAATGGCAAGGGAAACATTGAGCAGGTTTGTTTTTGTATACATAGGCACTGGTCTGACCCAAAAAGATAAAAGAAAAGAGAAGTATCATCATTATGCATTTGAATGCTTTTAATTTAATTTTGCATATGGTGTTCACGTGATTTTGATAACGGGATGTGACCTTCTAATGTAGAAATTAAAGAGGAAAGCTTTTATTTACTTTGGTCTTCATCACTTCTTCTCGACGAGCTCGTAAAAACATAATAGGAACAGAATCCTAACATATTTTAGATCTCCCACTAGAATAGAGAAGAAGAGGAACACCATCCTAGCTGCTCTGTCCAAATCTCTTCTTAACATTCACTAGAAAAGAGGTTAAAAAGAAAATGAAGATTAAATGAAAGAATTTAGATGTTCTTTTTCGATTCTTCATTCTTTTAGCTCCTATATGATGGCTGAATCTCGGTGCTTTCCTTCAGCTGGTTATGATTTTCTTCTCAACCTTCCATTTTTAAAATCATTATCTTTCATCAACAATCCTAGCGGGTTCTCCACCTCCTTTTTTGGGGATTTGGTGAACCTCCAAACCCTCTCTCCACCAAGGCTAATAGTGACCTTCCCACTTTTCACCCTTTGGTTACTCGAGTTTCCAGTTGCAAGTGGAAACTGTGTAGGTGGACTGTTTTTTTGCCTAATTGGAAGTTATGCAATAATGCTGTCTCTGTGTCAGATTCTCCTTCTACTTCAACCGAAGCTTGAGGCACAGTAATCAATTTCCTTCTATCAAGTTCCCCGAGCTTTACTGTATTTTCTTTGATTTTTAACTTGGGCAAAATTTTGTTCTGTCTTTATTGATGTAGAAACTGAAGGATATAGAAAGTGGATGTCATATTGACTTATTGTCTGAATATGCTTATTGTCATTTTGATAGTGCATGTTGTTTATGTTGAACGTCAATTGTGCATAGCTCGTGGGAGTTTTGCTTAGGATGTTTAAGCTTCTAGTTCTTTGCATGTTGGTTCATTAGTTACCCCAGGGAGCCTTTGCCCTTTTGAGGTTCTCCTTCTCAATCACCTATAGATTTTATTTCAACCTCCAAATTGTCCCAAAGATTGATAGTATTAGATTTCTTTCCCTTGCTGGTTTGATGTAGATACTGTTTAATTAACAGTTCATGTGCAGACAGAATTTTCCACATGTGGTATTGAACAGGATGTTTAAAGACCTACTCATGGTTCTTGGGAAAGATGGGGCATCATTTTAGTAGAGCTAACTTTATAAATATAAGGTTGAATGCAATTTTACAAAATTTACTTCAAGATTGATGTGTGGAATTGACAAGCAAATCTTGAAGCCTTGAACATCATTAATACCTAGGAAAGCCAGCGTATTAGAAATGCTAGTCTGCACTGCCATGTGCCATGTAGATTTTTGGTTTATCTATTTTAGGCAATCCAAAAACAGCTTCAATAACTTATCTCATATGAGGTGGCTTTTGGAAGTCCATATTCATCTCTCTCTGGAAATAAAGATGAATCTACTTCCTAAAAAGGAACCCTTCCATCACAAATACCAATTAGTGGAGGGTTTGTACTTCCATATAGGCTCCTATTGAGAGCCATATTAGTGCACCTGAGATCTTCTAGTTTCACTTAAACAACTCACTTGTGAGTGAGAAGCAGTAAAATACCAAAGATAGGTTTCCACAGAAAATTATTTTATTTTTCCTTAGCCTGTTAGTTGCTGCTTGTCTCTAATTTCAGAGTATGGTAAGCCATATGAGCTCAAGATTTTTGGAAATCACAACAATCACTAGTCATGCAGCTAATTTTATTTGTTATCTTTGTTGCAGTGAATTTTTATGTACTCTGTCTGTGGTTGTTTAGTTTGTTATATAAGGGTTAATGATCCAAAAAAAAATATAGACGCTGACGAAGCTTGAAAAATGGAACATCAAGAGCAATTGCGAACTAGATAATTCTTAAGTTAAAAGATAACAATATAACATTAGTATAGCAAAATTTCATAATTGCCTTTTGTTTTGGTTTAGATAGTTGTTTTTTCCTATTTTGAGATATATATTAAAGGTTTTCTGTTTATGCGTTGAGTGGTTGTCACCGTCAACTCTTCCAGGCTGTGCGCCCATTTGTTTTCAAATTCTAGACCCCTCTTTGTTTAATACTATTTTTCTCTAGTATAAATTGAAGAGTTCTCCTAATCTACGAATACATTTAATTCAGGATGATGTTGCTGTGGACAAAGCTGGAGCGGAACCTGAATGATTCCTAACTTAGTTAAAGGGTAAGACTTGCTGTTGGGTGTGGTTTGGGCTTTGTTAACTGCAACCCACAGTTCCTTAGATATCTTTTAACCACTTCTTTTTTATTCTTTCAGGTTGGTAGGCTAGGATTCTAATGTTTTTGAGTTCCCCAGTAGATTTTAGAATTCAGACCTTCAAATTTACAGCAAAAAGCTTTTCTAGTCTCTTAAAGTAGCACGCCGTGTGTTTCTGGGAACACTAGGATAATTGACAACCACCTGCTTGGCGTCAAACTACCGGAAATGACCTGTGATCAATACTAAAAATTGAAACTACAACCGAAGTATCCTTAGAAGAGTTTGATTTGACACTTGATCATCAATCTCTTAGTTATTAATCTGCAATTATTTTATATTGTTTGTATTACCCTTTAACATAGGAAAAAGTTGGCGGCTGTTGCATTTCAAGGATCAACCAGTGTTAGAAATTTAGTGCTGACTTATCCGACGGATTCAAAACAGGCTGGGAATTGCTTGATGTTAAATGTCCCCTAAGGTTAGAGACTGTCATTGAACATGCCTAATTTGTGAACAATAGGTCAACTTCTTGGGTGTTTTGCTGTTTCATTCAGCCTTCATCACTCTTATAGCTGAAGTAGGAAATGTAGTGCAGCTTGAGTTTCTAGCAGATAAACATTTATCTTGCATTTAAAGATCCAAGATAAGTTGTACTTCTCTTTGATGCATCATATGGTTTTCGTTTGGCCATGTTTTTATTAGTTTTTTTGTTGGGTTCTCCATATGCTGTAGAAAGGTAATACTAGTTATCGCTGTTGCATTAGATAGTTGCTAGTGCATATCCGTGCATCTCATGGTTCTACTGACATGATTTAAGGGCCTTTAAAGTCATTTGAGAAAAAGTGAAAAGAAGACTCACCTTGATTATTAAACTTGTTTGCACATTGCTCGACTTTATGCAAAATTTCACATTGCTATGTCATATGATGGTCAAGTTGTCAAATCCACATTTCTTCAAAGTGGTTCTTGTTTGGATTTAGCTGTTTGCTTATTAAGGTTCACCGGTTTACGAGCTTCCCAAATTTTCGCTTTATGATTTGATGTGGGTTATTTCGGACAGATTGACGCTAAGCAGGTGTTGTTAAACTACCTAGTATCCCCAGGTAAATCTTGTAGGATGCGGTCGGTGCTGTGTAAAAGTAGGTGTAGAATTTCCTGTGAAGGAATCTAGTTATGCTTTTTTCTTGTTATTGTCACTTAAATTGTACAAGACAATGTTAATTTTGTTGTGTTCAGTCGTTGAACTTATCCTATAGCCAATTGGTGCATTTGTGTTTCTGCTGTTTTTTTATTTCTCTTCTTTAGGATTCAAATCCGTTCAAATTTAATACGTTCTCAAAGTCTTCATTGTTTCGACTTGAATGGAGCTAGTCGAAAGTTATTCAAAGTTTTTACTGATGAGTGGTCAGACAGCGACAAATGTCGAAGCAGAGGATCATAGGTTTTTACATTATAGAGTTAGTCTGTCTTATACTGCTGTGGATTAAATGTGAATGGCTAAAATCATTTCACAGCAAAGTGATGAGACAATTAATGCCTAGGCGGAGAAAATATTACTCTAATATTTTAAGGCAAAAAAACCAGGCAACTGAAATGCGTCTTTTAAATACAATTTTTATCCATCTATAAGGAGATTAAACTTTCGGATGAGACTAATGAGGTGTTTGGCCAAGCTTTTGGAAGGAAAAAAAGCAGAAGTAGTTTTGGAGAAGTAGAAAATAGTAGCTTTTCTCCAAAAGTACTTTTTTGAGAAGCAATTTTGAGAAAAATACACTTAGAAGCAGTTCTTTGAAGCTTGGCCAAACGCTAATCGTTGTTCAGAAGTGCTTTTCAATCTAATTAGCCAAACACAAACTGCTTTTTACCAAAAGTACTTTTGAGAAAAACACTTTTGAAAAAAAACACTTCTCAAAATAAGCTGATTTTTACAGCTTGGCCAAACGGGCTACAAGTAGCTACGTTCTGACGTGCTGTTGACCTATTTTGATTAAGCCCAGATGCAGAAAATAGGAGAAGTGACTGTCATAGTTTCTGTTATCGCTGTAAACTCTTGCGCTAGTACAAGAAGTTCCATGTACTTGTGCTCGTCGCCAATACTACAAGTCTCTTGGGTCCTATATATTGTCCAATTTTTTTTTTAAACTAAAGGCAGCATTGTCCACTTCCCATAAAGTAACGATTAGTCAAAAATCATAGAGGTGACATCAAATAAGCAAAGAAAACCTTAGGTTGTTGGGACATGCTGCGACTATACCATATATTTATCTTCTTTTTTCTCAACCTATATATTGAAAATTGGAAAAGACCTTGGCCCCATTTAGCTAGAGTGGAAATTCTTAATTATAATCTAAGAGAGTAGAGGTCAACATTATCGAGTATATTCACTTCTTTAAAATCATCAATTAGTTTACGAATCTTGAGATATGAGGGAGATATTTTTCTAACGGAAAATATTTGAGGCGAATTTAAACATGGCCGCAGCTTTAGCTACTATATACGATCAAATTTATTTTCTTGCATCTCCCCATGCTTTGCTCCTTTTTTCACGCTGCTCTCTTCATGTAAAACTAACAAGAAAATCAAAATGAAACATAAAATAGGAAAATTATAGCAACCCAAAATTCCAGGACCCTAGGGGGGAAACTATTTTTCATTTCCATTTACATGAATTGTCATTATCAATGACAATACTAATCCCAAAAATCCAAATTTTAGCAGCAGTATTGCTGCTGTTCTTCATTTTCACTTTCATTTCTTCTGCAGATGCAATAACATTCGACTGGGTCCAACAAGAATTCCTCAAGGCTCACAATGATCTAAGAGCAAGCGTTGGCATCCCTCCTTTGCAATGGGACGCCAATTTGGCTAATTTTGCACAATCTTGGGCTAATTCGCGCAAACAAGATTGCAATTATAGACAACATTCGACTAGTCCTTATGGCGAAAACATATATTGGGAACTATATAGACAGACCCCCGCGAGTGGGGTTGTTCAAAAATGGTTCTCAGAGAAGCAATTTTTCAACCACGCGACAAATCTTTGCAATTGCCAGCCTGAACGCGAGAGATGTGAATGTGGCCATTACCTTAATATTATATGGCGTACTACCACGAAAGTTGGCTGCAGTTCATTTACTTATTGCAATGATCAAAAGGGTGTTTATGTTGTCTGTTCCTATGATCCTATAGGAAATGTAAAAGGTGTCAATCCTTTGAATCCTGGTAACAATGTGGCTGTAACATCGCCAAGTTTACCACCAAAACCTTTGAATAATGGTACTGCGCGACATGCTAGAGGCAGAGGCAGAGGTAGAAAGTCTCGACGAGGTAGACGAAACAAGCGCGTTTAAACGTTTTTAATTTCACTATTGGAGTATCGTCATGATTAATGACGATGCTCCAAAAAAAATAGCTGAGATATGATCTCCAATGGAGCACTTTGTGTGTTCAGAATGTAACAAGTGTTCTGCTTCTGTCCAACTCATACATTAATGCATCAACATTTTTTCTGATTTGAACTCGTGCTAATTTAAGGGATATACATTCTTTTTACTGCCTTTATTCAATTTTCTTGTTTTAGCTCTACAACAACAACAATAATAACATAACCCAATATAATCCCGTATAGTAAGGTCTGGGGAGAGTACAGTGTGTAAGCAGACCTTACATCTATCTTGTGGAGATAGAGAGTTTGTCTCCAAGAGCCCATCGGCTCAGGAAAGCATAAGTACCACATTAATGAAAAGAAAAACAATAAGAAACAACAACAAGAAATCATGGAAAAGCAGCATAAATAACAACAAGATAGTAAGATGACCGAAATGAAAGAAACAACAGGTAGTAATAGAAACCTAATACCAACAAAATACGAGACTACGTACTAATACTACCGGTATGAACAGGTAATACACTAGGCTACTTAACCTACTACCCTAATCCTCGACCTCCCCACCTTCCTATCGAGGGTCATGACACATTTTATATATGGAATCACTTAAACTTTCAATTTTATTCTTTTTGACAAGCTGTACATGCAAACCTTTTTCAAGGATCACGAATATAACTTGAATTATACAAATACCATCCTGTGGAAGAGAATGGGAAAGAGAGAATGACATGATTAACAAGGATTTTTCTACCACTTCCACATAATGAAGTTCTTCCTCTGTTGAACCTTATGTGGGACTATACTATTAGATGTCACAGCCCTTAATCTTGGATAATGATAAAATCACAAGAAATTTGTAGCAACAACAACAAACCCAGTGAGATCCTACAACTGCGGTCTAGAAAGGGTAATTTGTATGCATACAACCAGACCTTACTCCTACCCTGGGAGGGCACAGAGACTAGAGATTGTTTCAGATAGACCCTCAATCTGTAGCAAGCTTCGGTTTTTCATCCAAGAAAATAGCATTAGAGGCAACATTTGACAAGGTATTTGTTGTCTACTCTAAAATCTATTAAAAAAGACTTAGTTCTTCCACTGAAATGAGAGATTGACCAACAAAGCAAAAACCAGGAAAAAATGACTTTCACTCGGAAGAGAAAACCTTGGTTTCTAACTGATAAGCTTTTGTGAAGAATGAGGGCCAAGAGAGGTACGTCGAGAAGATACTACTAACAGTAGAAGCTCCAATAAGCATATTCATTACAACAATTTGCAATTGAATAGCCTCAAGAGGAGATGCTCCTCCCATTATAAGTCCTGTCATTGCACCTGGAAGTGATATTAGACCAACCGTCTTTGCATTGTCCAACACAGGAGAAAGAGCAATAACCAACGATCTTTTCACTTGTTGAATTGTTGCTTGTCTAGGCGTTGCCCCTAGTGCCAAGGCTGTCTCTACCTAGCCAAAAAAAAAAGAAAACTTTTGAGTATTATATTATGAAAAGTGCCATATTCCAAAATTGAACATAGTAATATAGTAACATTTATTAGAAGGGCAGCCAGGTGCACTGGGTCTATTGTATGCAGTTTTACCCTGCATTAATTTCTGCAAGAGTCCGTTTTCACGGCTAGAACTCGCGCCCTCCTGGTCACATGACAACAACTTTACCAATTACATCAAGGCTCCCCTTAATATAGCAACATTATTGCATATTAAATAAGTTTTTCGCGTTTGGGCGAGAATTTATAGAGTAAATGGTCAAATTTGCCATTGTACTATTCGAATTTGATCAACTTTAGATTTGTTAGACTTTTGGTCTAATAATATCATCACTGTTACAAAAAAGTCTCGTTTTGCTCGTATCCCCTAATGGAGCTCCCTGAGGATAATTTTCAACTAGTTTAAGTTGAGGGGTAAATTTGGACCATTCCTTTGGAAGAATTTGGAGTGAAGTTCATCCATTTCACGCTAGAGCTCCGTTATTAGTAGGGGTGTCAAATGGGCTGGTTCGACTGATTTTGGGTAAAAATAGCACGGGCTAACCAGTTTTCGGATTGGTCATTGGAAAATAGCTAGTGTTTGCAAAGTCATTGAAAAATAGCCACTATTTTGCTGCAACACGAAAAGTTCCAGCATAATATACTGAAGGTTGGTGCACCTGTGTATGAACTTCTAACATATTATGCTGGAACTCCAACATGCGGAAAGTTCCAGCATAATATACTGGAGATTGGAGCACCTTTGTATGAACTTCCAGCATATTATGCTGGACCGGTATATTATACTGGAACTCCAGTATATTATGTTGGAAGTCCAGTATATTATACTAGAACTCCAGTATATTATCTGGAATTCCAGTATATTATGCTGGAGTATTTTCTGGATTTTGAACAGTGTTTTCGTTCAGATTTATCTTTACATGAAAAGTGGCTAAATTTCGATTTTTTTTTTTGAAACTGTGGCTATTTTTGAATGGCCACTTGTAAATCTGGCTATTTTTGAATTTCTCCCTGATTTTGGTCGGTCAAAATGGGTTGAGTCAATAAATGGACGGGTCAAAGTAACTTGGGCTGAGACGGGTGGGTCAAGTTGGGCTAAAATTTGGGCGGGTTGGACGGGTCAAATAGGTTTGGGCTCAAATTGCCACCCCAAGTTAGTAACAACAAAAAATATGAGGCGATATCTAATGACAAGGATATAAATAGACCAAACGTGTAACAGAAAGGAAACTTGAGCAATTTCGGATAGTATAAAGACATTGCCTGCATTAAGATTTAAAACTTATCGTCTACTTTGAAAGAGAGAACTTATAATTTGTGACGATTTAACAATAGGGTCATAGGACGTACCAGTGACATTTGTATCTTGATGTCATCGCGAAGTTTTTTCATAGTAACGCCAGTAACTGTCATTGAATTGCCAACCATCATTCCCGCGACGGGGATGATGTAGCGAGGAGTGAAAGGGAAAACATTCAAAATTACCAATAAAAACATAGTGATTGCAGTTCCAGTAAGAATGGAAACTCCTGCTATATATTTTCCCCTTGGTACATGTTTGGCACGTTGTCCTGCCGTATAACCAGCTATAGTAACCTGCATAATCAACATATTTTAATTAGTACGAAGATTATCCACTTAATTGATGCCATAAAATCATTAGTAATGAGACCATGATTTAGTTAAAACACTACAGCCAATATTCGTAGGGTAAACAACAACAACAACAAACCAAGTGTAATCTCACAAGTGGGGTACAACATACGCAGACCTTTTCCTTGCCTTTAAAAAGGAAGAGGGGTTGCTTCTTGTAGACTCTCGGCTCAAGAAGGAAAAAAAGGAGGGGCAATAACAAGCAAACCAATCTGACAACCGAAGCGAGTGTAATTGGTTTGAAAATCAGCATAAAGCCTTGTGAAAAGAAAATATTTTCTAATTATGATTCCACTAACAGAAGTAAGCTTAATTTCCGAGAAGTCTTTGTTAAGATGGTATTATCACTTTTAGCCCGCGCCAGAAACTATTTATATTCGGTAACCGAAAAAGTGTATAAAATTTGTAATAATTTTTGTTAACATACATAATGTGTATATATATATATATATAAGAAATGTATATTTTTTCGGCTATTTTTTTAAGAGCGGCTATGCAGTGCCATTTTTCCAAAAACTTAAAGGAGTAGATTTAGGGTGTTTTTTTGTAAGACAAAAGTCATTTTCCGAAAATGTTTTGCAGAAAATGACTTACGTTTTCCGATATTTGGCTGGAGAATAATTTGGTTTTTCAAGAAAAAATATTGACTAAAAATTGAGATAATACTTTAGCAAATTTGATAATGTTTTAATGAAATTTTTTGTAACAATAATGTATAAAAAAGAGGTCATGGATGCCAATTGCAATAAAGTCAATTGCCGAATCAGCAAGTGGGAGAAGAATATCATTATTTAAATCCTTTTGGATTCTGTAATCATCTAGATAATGATAGAATAAAGTAGGAGTGCAACCAACAAAATCATAATAAGAAAAATGAAAAACATGTATTTGTTGAATGATTCTTTGCTGAACGTGAAAAGAAGCGGAGAAACTTGAAAAAATAAGTTTTATATCGTTAGACTTTGGTAAATAATTGACCTATCGAGAAACAAGAGGAAAAGGTAAAAAACTACCATAACAATATTAACTAAACCTCAATTTAAAATAAGCTGAAATTCACTTTATAACTTATTACTGATCTATGTCGTTCCATTTAACATTATCTCAAACCCATGTGGTCTAACATAAAAATAAAAATTACTACTACTATAAATGTGTAACCTAATAAGGTGACTCTTAGAAATATAGAACCTATAGTAAATGTGCTAACATGACTAAGCCCTTCTAGAAATTTGTAAAGTAAGATTCATTCTAGAAATTCATGATTATTCGAAAAAAAATTCTAAAATAAATAAAATCAGACAAGCCCTTACAGTTTTATCTAGTAATTACATAACTGTAACAAAATCTGCTGCAGATCCACATGCAGACAGATTATCTTTTTTTTTTTTTTTTTTTTTTGTGGAGAAACTGTACAAAGATCATATATTCTGCATTTACTTGATTCATTTTCTAAATTTGACAAAAAAAAAAAAAAAAAAGAAGAAAGAAAAGAATTACATACCATGAATAGATAAGCAAGAATGATCCAACCAGCATTCTTTTGACTGAAAATGAACTGAAGAACAAAACCAATAATAGATAGCTGAACAAAAGCTCTGAAAACTGAGTAAATCATTTCACTTTCCAATCCAAGTTTCTGTACATAAGACAAAGCTACAGCCATAAATACAACTGCAAGTGCTGCAATTGGCTTTATCATTCCCTTCAAAAAATCTCTCAACCAATTCCACTCCATTATTTCTTCAAATTTAGAAAAAGAAATGTTTCTAAATTGTGAAAAGTGTTAGGGAATTCGAGAGTATTTATTGGTGTAAGAAACTTTAGGAAATGACCTCACTTTTCTTTTGTTTTAAATTTTGGTTATTTTTGTAAAGGATAAAGGAGCAAAAACAGAAAAGACCTTCCCTAGATGGTCTGTACCTGAAAGCATAGGGACGTACGTACGACAACATACGTTATGGGTCCCACATTTGGACGTACGTACGATAACATGGGCTCGATTCTCGTGGTATTGTGGGGCCCGGGAATGCAGATTCTGTGATTTCGAGCTTATGTGGCTGACACGCATATGGAATTTTACGAGTCGTGACTATTAGATACTTTTACTCACCATGGAGTTTAAGGAAAAAAAAGAATAACTTTTAAAATTTGTGGTCTTAAAAACTTAAGAGATAAAGCTTTGTGGGGCCATGACTTTTGTGTGATTATTAAAGTTTTTCATTAATAGGAAAATAAGTAGTTTAAAGTTGAATTATTTTCAAATATAGAAATATGTCATTTATTTTGGAACAGACTAAAAGAGAAAGTACCTCATTTAATATGAAACAGAGAGAGTAAAAATTTATTCGTATTGATCTTTACGTCGTATCAATAAAGGGAAACTACATTTATAAATAATATTAATATTAGCCAATTTGCTATTTGTAGCAAAAAAATATTAAATTTTTGATTTCCTTTGAGTGAGTGTTATTAGAATAGATTGGGTACATCTCTAAGGGGCTTAGCTTGAATCTCAGTTTTGGGATGATTTGGTGGAATTTTGAGGTGGTTTAAATTGAATATTCAAAGTAGAAGATAAACATGAAAAAAATGATATGAGTATCGCCCTATGTATCATTTGTGTATCACATATGTATCATATTTGTATCAAATGTGTATCACATGTATATGCATATATACTTGTTAGGGGTGTCAATGGATATTTAAAAACCGACTAAACCAACCGAACCGCACCGTACAATACAAAACCGAACCGATTTTTAGGTTTCTTTTAATAAAACCGTAGGTTTTTATATAAATATATAACCGTACTGATAATTAGGGTAGGTTTTTTGTTTTATGAAAATACACCAAAAAAATACCGAATCGTACCGAATAAATATACAATATGAAAAATATATTTATATATTAAGTTTAAAAATGATAAAGCATTAAATTTTTTCTTGCGCGTTGGAATTATGAAACATTTATGGGCTAACAAGTAACTAAACTCAAAATCCTAATTCCCAAACCAATTATGCTACTCCTATTGAAATTAAATTATTTCCTATATATTCACTAGCAAGACACAAGGTAATGTAGCGATTATGAGTAGCAAACTATAATGTATTGAATATGTTTCCTTTCGTATAATTTAGATTTATCTTTTTGAATATTTAATCTTCTATAGACTTTATTCTTGAGTCCCAAATTGGTTAATTTGTATTTGCTTAGTTTCTTTTACGTTATTGTAGAATAATTGATGGATCTATACTCTAGCCATCTTTCATGTTTTCAGAATTCATCAACTTTTAAACTGTAAAAATGTCTAGAGAGTTTTGCCAAGTCCTATAAAAGTACGTATGTTATTGCATTCTACTTCTACTGGTGACTTTTATATGACATTAAAAAAAAGGCCGAAAATTAACCGAACCGTACCGATACCAAAGAGAAACCGACATGATTAGGACGGTTTCGAAAAGTCTAATTTTGGTTATATATAATGGAATAACCAAAAAATTAGTATCGTACAAATTTTATAAAATAACCAGCTGAACCGAACCATTGACACCCCTAATACCTGTGTGTGAGATACATGCATCATGTTTGATACATTTATCGCAGAAGAATTTCTTAAACTCGATTTTAACTACGAATTTTGATACCAAATCAATCCAAATCACCTCCAATCTTCCTCAAATTTTGTATATTGACACATCTATATGCTTTCGATGAATTTCAACTACGCCCATTGAAAAAGGTCTTTTTTTTGCTTAGATTTTTGGAATATTGTATATATAATTTTTTTTGTATTTCATCACCTTATTTGCTACCTCATCTATAAATATTCTTTCCGTCTTGCATCTATTGTTGATAATCACGCTTAAAATTATGGAAGGAGATCTGTGCGTGTGATTCTTGGAGAGAAAAAACCTTATTTATTTGGATTTAATATTTTTATATATGCTTGGATAATTTTAATAAATCCATAATTAATGACTAGAGGTTGATAGATTGGGACTTATTTAGGATATTTATGTAATATTCCAAAAGTACAAGTCTCACAACAGAATCACATGGGATCCCACGTTCTCATAGCAACGTGCAAGTCTAATTAGCTGCTGCCATTTCATTAATTAGTCGTTGACAAATTACAAATGGTTCATATTTTTAATTAATTATTACTACTGGTACTACTAGAATGAAATTTGTCTAATTCATTTCACTTTTGGATTCCGTTTACAGTGTGTGGGGTGGGGGTGGGGGGTGGGGAGGGGGGGTTGAATAAAAGATAATAACTCTTTTGTGCTTACATCGAACTATATTAACTTTTAACCGTATCGGCCCATTTCCTCTGATTTAATGAAGTAAAATGATGTAATAGTTAATCATGATTAAGTGGAAGAAGCGTATATGCAAATACATATAATGTATTTATTAGCTTAATATAAATACTTAATGCAAATAAATATTTATGGTAAAAGTAATTTGATAAAAATATATTGAGGCTAAATAAAACTTTCAAAATGTTGCTGCACATGTGTCGAATCTTCTAATAATACATGAGTAAAATTTATTTATAGCCACTCAGGCCAAACTTATATCATCCGGTAGTCACAAAATGACCCCATACAAATCATAACCTAAAAACAATAATAATGGCTAGCAACTAAAAAACCTGAAAGTGCAGCAAATTTCCAAGATACCTGCTTCTTAAATTGCCAAATATTATTGAGTTTGGCCATACATATAAGTAGGCTTAGTTGTTGCACCTTCATCACAGTAAAAATAGTACGGTATAGCTAATTTTCGGACTGATCATTCAAAAATAGCCGGCGTTTACCAAGTCAATGAAAAATAGCCACTATTTTGCTGCAACAGACCGGTCCAGCATAATATACTGGAGTTCTGTGCACCTGTGTATGAACTTCCAGCATATTATGCTGGATCTCCAACACACGGAAAGTTCCAGCATAATATACTGGAGATTCGAGCACTTGTGTATGAACTTCCAGCATATTATACTAGACCGGTATACTTTGCTGGAACTCAGTATATTATGCTGGAGTTCTAATGTACTTATGCTGGAACTCCATCATATTATGCTGGAGTTCCAGCATACTTATCCTGGAACTCCAATATAATATGCTGGAGTTCAAGTATACTTATGCTGGAACTCCAGCATAATATACTGGCGTATTTTTCGGGTTTAGAACAGTATTTTCGCTCAGATTTATCTTTACATGAAAAATGGCTAAATTTCAATTACTTTTGAAACTGGTCTATTTTTGACGACCACTTGTAAATCTGGCTATTTTTGAATTTCTGCCTTCGTCACACTATCACTGATAGTCTATCAGTACAGGTTGCCACTCGAAAAGCAATTTCCCCAAATTGTAAAACCTATCTACTACAGTGAAAAGGCACTAATTAAGGAAAATAATTTAATCAAGTTGCTCGCCTAGAAGATTATTCTCGATTAATATTATTAGCTAATTTGTAGAAAGTAGAAGAAAAGAAGTCAATCCCTAATAGAGTAATTTATTTTGTTGTGATAGTTTTTGGACATATTCAAGGAATTTGGCCATAGTGTAATAATTAAATTCGTGACTTTGCTATGGTACGTAGTAACTCATTTTACCTGATTTAATTTGAGATTTTTTAATTGTTTTATTTATTTTTCATGTTTTTGTTTTGCACACCGTACACACGGAGAAAGTAATTTAATCACTATACAATTCATATGCAATAGACTGTCATTATACAAAATATATACAAAATAGACTGTCACTATACAAAAAATATACTAAATAGACTGTCACAATACAAAATATATACTAAATAAACTGCCACTATACAAAATATATACAAAATAGACTGTCACTATACAAAAAATATACTAAATAGACTGTCACTATACAATTTATATACAATAGACTGTCACTATACAAAATGTCACTACACAAAAAATATACAAAATAGACTGTCATTGTGCAATTTATATACAATAGACTGTCACTATACAAAATATACACAAAATAGACTGTCACTATAAAAAAATTATGCAAAATAGACTGTCACTGTACAATTTATATAGAATAGGCTGTCACTATACAAAAAATATACAAAACAGACATTTTGGGCTATTAGATGTAATATGTTTGGGCCGGAGGGATATTTCGTGTCAATGGGAAAAACATAGGCTATTAAAATTTTGAGGGACTATAGACGGTCATTTTCTCATAATGAATATTGTTTTTGGAGGATTTGACACGCATCTGGTGATATTTTCGGAGAGTCCGGGCAATATAGATGATAAGTCCAAGTAGCTCTCATGTATTGTAAATCATACTATTTACTCCCTCCATTCTAATTTATGTGACATAAGAGTACTTTAATTCGATACGAAGTTAAGAAATTAAGTTCGAAACATGTGATTTCTAAAGTATAAAGGATAAAAGTTTTGTGGGCTATAATATTTGTTTGGCTATAAAAATTTATCATTAAGAATATAGTATATAAAATAAAAAATCTAAAGTTAAAATTATTTTTAAATATATAAATATCATTCTTTTATGAAAACTCATAAGAACAAAGTATCAAGGACTTGATATGCATTTGCACAAAACTAATTAAGGATTTATTCGATGGGACATAATATAAAGAAAGAATCTGGCTTTTTGCATGCATTATATACGCTGGGGCGTTCTTTAATTTGTTTTATCCTTTGTCTTTAATAGTGACTCAGCAATGGCTGTGCAGATTAAATTAAAAATTATCGTCGAACTTGATAATTTTATCCTTTTATTATGTGATCATTTTTTGGCTTGCCAAGTGCCGATCCCAGATAAAGAAAATAAACAAAAAATCGTTGCTAATAT